CACTGGGGTAGACTGTTCTAGTTCCACATGCCATGTTTAATGGATGTCAGTTATCAGTTAACTCCTGTTAATTTCCCTCTGAAAGTTCTCCACTGCCTTAACCAGGTATTGAACTCACTCTTTGGGTCTTGTTACTGGATCTAACAAACGCCTTTATCCACTGTGTCATGTGTCCTTGAGGACATCTGTGTATGAATTTCTGGGTATTATAAACCTAATGTCTTCAGCAACCATTTTTACCAGTGCTCATATTGCAATTTTTTTTGTTATCGCTTTTCACTGGCACTCATTATTATTGGTTCCCATATTGTATTCATTTCTATGCTTGGTCGGCTCAGGAGATTATGTGCCGATTCCTTAAGTTTATGAATTTTCCAAAGGCGTTCCTTGTCTATGATCTCAACCTGATCCTACAGAGGGCGGTGATCTCCCTTCTCTCTCCATATGTGGTCAGCCATGCCTGATTTTTCCACTTCCCCTCATGTTACAGCTTTCTGGTGTTCTTGAAGCCTTACCTTAAATTCGTAAACTTAAGGAATCAGCTGAGCCGACCAAGCATAGAAATGAATACAATATGGGAACCAGTAATAAGGAGTGCCAGAGAAAAGCGATAACAACAAAAGTGAGTGAAATAAAGTGTTAAGTTCAACATTCAAACCACCTGAAGAAGGCCGAAACGTAATAAATATGGCGACAAAGATGAGGACAATAGTCTGAATAATGTAAATAAAATTCTTAGTATCTAAAATATCATGATTGTCCTTTCAAAAGTGAATAGTCTTTGACTAGAAAAAGTATTGTATATATATCTTAGAAAAATATATTTATTGGATAGTGCTTGTATAGATTGTACTTCCAAGAAATACATTAATTTTTTTTTTTTAAAGCAAATTTTGATTTTGCAGACTTCTTAAGTTGCTTAATTTCTTGCACAGGTATCAGTATTCAAGTTGCTTTGAATTTTTATACCTGGGTCTAATAAATAGAAAGAAGACATTTCAATGTAATTAAACTAGTAGAATTCTAGAATACAGTATGAAATAATGTATTTAGTAAATCTTTTCTCATTTTTTTTTTCAGTTGCTTAAGTGACACTGATATCTGTAGTGAAGTTGCATAAGATTTAGTCTTGTGTAGGTGTTTTGTTACTTAACTCTTCCTAAAAGATTTTACCATAAAATTTACGAACTGTTAAAACAGATTCATATTTTTAAAAGATAAAAAAAAAAAAAAAAAAAAAAAAATTATATAAGGGGTACTGAAATATTCATTGACTGACCAGGAAGGGATTTCAAAATGAAATCTGTTTGGTCAGATTTTGGGAAGTGGGTTAAATTGAGAATTTTTCAACACTCCTACATAAATAATCTTGAGTACATGCTGAAAAAGGATGGGTTGAATGCTCAGCTCTAACCATTGCTAGGAAGTTGATTTCTTGCTGGATGCTCAATAAATCAAGCTTTACAAAAATGTAACTATTTGGCCATTTGTTCAAACTTTGAATCCTTATTGTTATCTGATTAAAGAAACATTTCTCCCACCTGGATTTAAATCTTTTTTTGTGTGTAAATATTATTTTCTGGGTTTAAAAAATGTTCTAGATACATTTGAATGTAAGACATTACTGTTTTTATCAATGTTGCAAATTATTTATAATTTAAATTATTTTTTAGTGAGTCAAACTGATGTAAAAGGCACAGCTCCTCCACCCATTTTATCTGAAGAAAGTATTAACATTTTGGCTGACCAAATCAAAGATGGACTAACATGTCTTCAACTTGCTATGTTATTGAACATTCCAAATACCACAGTCGTGCAGTTTGTATTGAACATGCCCAGAAATGCTGGATTTCGAGAGGCAACCAAAGAGGAGGTAACTCAACTCATAAGAGGTCTTTTGCATTATTGGTGTCATATTCGGGCCAATGCTAAACCAAAAGACAAAATAAACGATATGGAAAAGGCTTTAAGAGAATGTGGCCTGGAACAACTGGCAGATGCTTGGAATGACAGATTTTTGAATGATGCTGCATTAACAAAAGACTTATTTGAAAGTTGACATTATACATCATACAAAGCAGTTATATTTTATTGACATTTGTAACAAAAAATAATGAAGAGTGAAAATTGTTTTAAAATTTCCAATTTAAAAAAAAAAAAGTCAAAAGATTTTTATGTCTAAAGTTGACGTAAACAGTTTTGTAACTGGTAACTGATAGCTCTTTTTAAATCACCAGTAAAAACATTTGAAAACATCTTGACTTGCTTTTATATTAAACATTAGAGAAAATGGTAAGATAGTTGAAGCATTTCCAAATATGTTGATAGCCATTGCTAACACTTCATATGCGAGATAAATATTGAATTATCATTTGATGGTATATCCCCAATTCCTATTTACATTTAATATTAAAGTGACATTAGGTAAATAATACTGGTAATCTGGGTCTAAAAGTAAACTTACAGGTTTTCTTTTCTTCAGTTATCACTCACTGCTACTTGTAAAGAATCATCATTCAGGTACCTCAACACCAATTATCAACTTGCTGGTCCGAGTCACTGAAAGTGAATTTATTTAGCCATGTGCCAAGCTAAGCTTAGTAAATATCTAATAAATAAACTAGGTAGCTTCTTAATAGGTTAAATATTTAAGTGGAGGCTACAAGATCTCTTACCAGAGTAGAATGAATGATATTGATCAGGGCTAGAGCACAACTGGTTCATGCAAATGATACACTAGAATAAAAACCATGCTGAAAATGATTATAGAGCTGTTATGAGATAATCTGTCATCTTCACTATACAATATTCTTTATTTGGTCAATTTTTATATTGAAAATACTGAGATATCAAGTTGCTATCATATTTTTATGGAATATACAATTTAGGTGAAAGATGACAAATTCATAGAAAGCCAGTGAAAATACTTTGATGATTGAATAATAATGCTATAAATTTATATGAATATTTTGCAAAATGTCCAATATTTCTTTTTGAATCAAGCTATATTTCACATATTCAATATTTTCACTCAAAAGAAAACCTTGTAATAGATCAAATTATAGATAAAAGTTTTATTTCTCTTCCAAGCATGTCAATGTATTTAAAATCTGGGGGCATAGCTTTAATAATTGCTAAAATAAATATCAGTGATGCAAAAAAATAGAAATGTAATTTGAACTGAGTTATTGATGCAAGTAGGTTATTTAATTTATGGGAATATCACTGTACAGAAGTGGGTTTTAATGTTTCATAATAATATCAACTTTTAAATATTGAAAAAAGAAAAAAGAAAAAAAGTGGGTTGAAGAGTATCAGTTGTGACTTAGTAATTAGAATGGAGGACTATACTTTGTTCCATTCTAAGTGCACAATTAGTGTTTTTTTTCTAAAACTTGTCTGTAGTAGGTATCTATAACATTTAGACAATGATTGGTTAAGAAAATTCACATAAGATAAACTGATGCGATACAGAATAAAAAAAAAAAAAAGAAAAGAAAAAAAAAGCTTGTTTTAATTTTTTTTTTAGTGGCATATCAACCTCTATGTGTTATTTAATACTGAAATCTAAATATTTTGTATGAAATTATATTTATTTTTGAGGTGGGAGAAAATAATGGTGTTTAGTATACAAGTCTCACTAATTAACCCCATAGCTGGTATGAGAAGAAGTGGATTCATACCTTTCCCAAGGGTATTTGCACGTAAGTGAAAATAATGACCCCAACTGGAATTGGAACTCTGCTCTCTGATCAACAATTTCAAGCCATTATCTATTACACCACACACACATCCAAGATTGCAGCACCTGGTATTCTCAAGCAGGCACCCATTTAGATACTGGCCAGGCTCAACATTGGTTAACTTTGGTGATTGTATGGGAATCTATGTTTCAATTTGATGGGGTTTTAAGCCTCTAGCTGCTTTTAAGAAGTGAATAATGAAAATCCACTAAAAGAAAAAAAGTTATTGTTTTGCATTCATAGAAGCCAATGCAATCCATTGTATACTCTTTAAAACTATCAAAAGTATTCTGATTATTGCAATATGTCTGGTCAACACTGCTTGCCATAAGATACTGAACAAACATTACTCCAAAAGATGTAGATCACTACATTTCCTGTTTTCCCACAACCTTAGATAATCTTCATACTTCAATTGCTGATTTGGAGGTTAAAAAAAAGAAAAAAAAAAAAGTCTAGTCTATCCTCCGTAAACAAAATAAAACAACACATTTTAATAGGAAAAATAATCCAAGTTATTTGTTTTCATTCAGAAATAAGACCAAAAATTTACAATTGAAACACCAAGAGTTCTGTAGAAAAAACATTTCATTTCTGTACATTTTTCTTCTGTGAAAGGTGTTTTTTCCTCTCTCTCTCTCATTTGTGTATTCTTTACAAAATTTTTAACATGAATTGGTGATGGTAATGTAATGAAACTTTTCAAAAACATACTTGGATAAAAGAAAATGAATACCTAAGATTTTTGAGATGACTGGGTAGTAAAACGAGACAGTAATAATTAATTAGGAAAGGAGACTTAATGAAATAAGAAAAAAAAAAATGGTTATTACAATTTATAAAAAAAACAAAAACGCATGAGTTTTAATGTTAAGAGTCTGTTCCTTTAGGGAGGCTTCAGACTTCTTTTGGATGCAGTTGTTATCGAGTCAGAATTAGTGATTAAATTAGTAAGGTTGGTAATATTAGAGGTAGTAGTTCTCAAGTTGAAAACTGTTTTTATAAGAGTTGTGGTTAATGATAATAGCAATGGAAGAAAAATTTAGGCTAAATTTTACCAAGTGTTTAGTTAACTTTTAAGCCCAAGCTGAATGGTACAAGTTATCAATAACTGATGATCATGGCTGACCAACAGAATACACACTCAGAAGGCATAATATGGCTGGAACAAGTGTTCCCTGCAGGTACTTTTTTCTTGCATAAAATCAATGCAAATTATGACTGATAGAATTCTGCTTTGTTGATGAAGAGAGCTGCTTAAAAACCGATTTGCTGAGACATCTGAAAAAAAGGAAAAAAAGAAAAAAAAGAATACACAAAAATAAAACAGATATAGTAAAAAAATGAAAAGATAAGACTTTCTTTGAAAAAAAAAAAAAAAAAAAAAAAGAGCACTCTCTTTTTCTCTCTATATATATTAGTTCATCTGTTAATCAAAAAAGAAAGAAAAAGGATATTTTTCAAATATCTTTTATATGACAGTTGGACACTAAAATATTTTATTACAAAATAACTCACAATCTATAGTTAAAGTAGCAATAGTTACTAGGTGATATAAAATCTTCAAAATTACAAATGGTAGACAGACTCAAGGCAGAACTATTTGAAATTAGTTTTACTTTAATCTTTTACTTGAAAATAGAGCACAAATGTAATGAAACTGAAGTAAAAAGAAAATATATTTTAAATGCCAAAAATGTTTTCCAGATCATGGATATTTAGAACGATTATATTAAAAGAATTAGCAAAGTTGAAATTTGTTATAATTATGTATTTTTAGCATAAAATATCAATGCTAATTTTGTTCATTTATTCAGCTTCAATTTTCTGGAATTAAATTGAGTGAATTAAGGACAAAAATTGGACACTATAGACAGGAAACTATTAATGGTGTGAGAACTACATTTTTTTTTTTTTTTTAAAGATTTTTTTGAGTTATGAAATCTTTTCTCATTTAAGTTTGGACAAAGGTAAAGAGAAGCACTCCATATTTCAAAGCATCTAATATGTTAATTTATAGATATCATGACTCAGGAGAAAAATAAGGTAAGCAGTATTTTCATTTTAGGAAAAAAAAAAACTTACTGCTACTGGATTGGAATATGTAGTATAAAGAACATTTTGTTGTGGTTGATCAGCCAGCATGTTAGGAGTGATGGCTGAAATAAGAAATCAGAAGCAAAACAAAAAAAATCAGACACAAAACATTCTGTTTACTCATTTTAGTCTCATTTTTAAAGAGGAAAATAATATATACAGTTGCTACCAGGTTTTTATTTGTAATATCATCTAACCTGTTAATGATTAATAGTGTAGAAAGAAATATCAGTACAAAGCTTATTCAGGTCAGACTTTGAATAAAATTTGTGTATTTCCTTTAAACTTCTATCCAATATAGAATCAGCCTTTGTGATCACTAAATATTCTATTATTATCAAAGAGCTAAGAGTAATTTTACCATAAGCAGCAATCAAATTATATTTATTGGGTCTGGTGGTCATAAAATTATGCCTTCCTGAAGAATATTTAGTATTAATTGCTAAAGAGAGAACAACAGAAGCAGAGAATTAAACATTACCCAATTATTGTGTGTGTATTTATGTGTTTGTTGATAAGTTCTTAGCTTGACTCAACTTCCCAAACATCAGAATTTGGAGGGTAATTCCTTTTTGGTCAAGCCAAGAATTTTTCAGCATCTCTGTACGAGTGGTGCAGTCAAACTAAAAATGACAAATCTCCCCTCATAACTCCTGACAATTTAAGGAGTAAAAATCTGCACTGTAATTTTTCATTCACTATGATTCCCAAAATAATTTTAGAAACTGGAAATTTATAATTGGCTCAATTAAGTATTTTTCATTAAAAAGATGCAAACAACACTTACTATAAGTCTCATCGATTTCATCAACTGTAGTGTCTCCAACCATTGCATTTGGTTGTAAACCCTTTTCTCCTTTGGCAGACTAAAAATAAAATAAAAAGGTTACACATTTAAAACGGGATTCAATTTGACATGCATAAATCCATTTGGATTAAGATTTGCTTTTAGATAGAAATATTCTTGGAAGATTTAATTCTGAACTGACAATATTTTACCTAAGGCTTGAAATCAAGATCTTTCCAGAGATGCTAAAACATTAATGTGGATGACTAAGTTTTTCAGGACACTGCCAGGATGACAGAAAATTTTTATTAAAATTCTATTTTAAAAATAAATTCTAAAAGTAATTTCTAAAATAATAATAATGAAAAATAATACTTCTTACTATAATGGCAGGCTTTTAAAACACACACACATACACACACAAAAATAAACAAAACTGAAGCGCTTCTTTTTAAACTGGTGAATGAAACCTGAATGAAAAATGATGTTTAAAAGGATTTAGGATATTTGAATTATTAAATGTGAAAAATAATAGGATCTAATTGTAAGACTAATTTTAGTTTAAAAATATTTTTTAATTTTTGGTTAAAATTTACAATTATTCAAGGTGATTTAACCAAAATGTTTAAATAAAAATAAAGTGAATTTTTATAAAATTATTATTTAACTGATTTTGTATCAATTCATTTTTAAAACTTTAATATTTCAGCTTTTTTTAAATTTAGTTTCTAAACATTTTAATAGTATTTTTATTATGTTACTAACAGCTATTAAGGATAAAAAAAAAGTTAAGACATTTTGATTTTGAAATGATTTAACATTTTTGGGGGTGACAGTTTTGGAATGATGATGAAAAGAAATGTTAGTTTGGAGTCCTGATTTTGCCAAATGCATACAGACATATCATCAGTGTAATAAAAATGTGAATACTATCTAAATCAGTGGTTCTCAAACATTTTTGAATCCTGATGCCATTTGTGTAAAGATTTTTCATGGTAACCTAAGTAGGAAAATACTGAACAACTGCATTTATATTCATGCAAGGTTAAATTCAGATAACCAAATAAAAAAAAAATTTTTACTACATTGATTGAATCTGTCATTGCTTTTGGAAATTTTTCATTTTTGAGAAAAAGTCACTGTTATAGAAGTTATGAATGAATGGCTCTAAAGTGGGTGACCTATTTACAATTTAAGTACCAGATATTTATTTACATTGTAAACTGAACATTATTGTCACAAAGATGCAAACAAAAGTAGGGGTTCAATTTTTACATTATATGTACATTGTAAATAGGTCAGGCATTCTCTTTGTGGCACTATTGTGAGACTGGTAGTATGAAATTAGGATTAAAAAGGGATCATGTGGAACCTCCATATAGAATTGGAGAACTGGAAGAGATAAAAATATTAAAATCATTAAAAGGTGAAAACCTGAATTGAAATATGAAGTAAAAGAAAATAAAAAAATAAAACAAATTTTTTTCTCATTTCTATCTGATAACCAGACTTGGTGATGTAAGCAATCTGACATTTGAGAAACGTAAAATGCAAGCCAAAAAAGATTTGCCAGGCTGGAATTGTGAACATTCTGCAATGCGCAAAGAATTATTTGGAATGCATCTTGAAAGTCATCAAACAAGGAAAATTCTTTGCTGTTTGAAATAAATTTCAAAAATGCAAAAATTATTATTGGGAAAAATCATTGTTTTGAATAGTTGACCCCTTTTTATTTGAATGTCATTGTCAGCTGGGAAGTGAATTTGAGTACAGCCAAAATGTAAACAATGGGATTTTAAATCGGTCATTTTGAGAGTTGAAAACAAAATGAAATTCTTTTACATCAAAGGACAAAGAGATAATTTTTAAACACAAATTTGTAAACGGAAAAATTATTGTTTGGTTAAATGGCCGATTGTTGAAAGGAATGTTAAAAACAAAGTTTATTGCCAAAGGGATTATTGTTTTGAAATAGCTGATTGCTTTGGGTGAGGGTTGGTGTCATGTCTCCGGGGTTGGAGAAAATAACTGATGAATAATTAATGAGTTTTGAGGTGTGGTAGGAGTCTGGCAAAATACATATAAACTGAACACTTATTTGAGGCTAGCAGCTGGAGTGAGAGACACAGATAAGATGTAACAGTAGTGTAGGAGGAACTGCTGAATCCCACATGACCTGCTGCTGGCAGAAGTCCCAACCTAATTTCTTGTGTATGTTTTAACCAGCTCCAAGTGTTAGAAGCAAGAAACACAGTGTCACGGTAGAGAGTTTGACGAGGGGGGTTAATTTTGTGGTATCAATGATTATATAAACAATTGAAAATTAACTCAGTGACCATCTTTGTTATTTGTTATGATATTTGTATTTTCACCAAGTGAAGCATTCTTTGTCCTTTTCATAGCACAGTTCCACCACAACTCAAATCAGCACTTAAATACTGATGAAAATTTGATTTTCACTGCTCTGTGATCAAAGAACACAATGTGTGCCAGGGTAGATAAAAAACTGAAGCAGTCAGCAGATAACCATTAGTTAACCATAGGTAGTGCTGATTAGCGCAGGAAGGACCCTGGATTGAGCCAAGCCGGCTGTATTATATCTTTAACAAGCTATCAATAACAAGATGAAATTTTTCATTTACATTAGGTTATAAAACTGCAGTAGCTGAAATTACTATAATTTTAAGTTAATGGGTTTTAAGATCTTATGATGATGTACTTTCAATTGGATAGAGATGGTTATGCATAATTTAAATATATTACAATTTTTGAATATCCTGTAGTACCTTTGGCAATTAATGCTAGCAGTCCAACACCTTGGGATGCACATTTTGGAAACCCATGATCTAAATAATTGATCAAACATTCAAGTGAAAGAATAAGTTATTAAATAAAATTTATGAACACTAGTTAATTTTAGAAAATGCAAAAATTGTAGTCATACTTCTCTATACTTTTGTAGATATAATTTCAGTGGATCCACATAGTTATCAAAACCTAAAGTAGACATGGCAAACAGAATATCTTCTCCATTGATTGTCTTCCTTTTTTCATGTTGACACCTCTCACTTGCTCTGAAGCCAAAGTTAAGGAGTTAAAAAAATAAAAACAGTATGGGATTCTTAGCTCAAAGTATAGTGGATATACAAGGAGATGCACAACCAAAAAGTTATTACTTATCTTCAAAATTTCAATGAGATTTACTTCACAATTACTTAAATTTTGGAAGTCTTTTTTTTTTTTTTTTTAAAATATAAAATGATTTTCATGTTCAGGTTATCTTTGTTAAAAAAAAAAAAAAAAAAAAAAAAAAAAAAAAGAAAAAGAAAAAGAAAAAGAAAAAGAAAAAGAAAAAGAAAAAGAAAAAGAAAGAAGAATTTATTGTGTGTGTGTGTGTGTAGTTCAGGTAATAAATCTTGATATATAATTCAAGTGGAACCTAATATAAAATATATATTTTTTATTAAAAAAAAAAAAAAAAATTTTAAATTTTTTTTTTTGTAAAGTAATCAACAAAAAAGTAATATTAAAGTGTGACAAATTCATATTTGGGTGGGGCTAAAGTACCATAATCTTAAAATGTGGCTTATAAAAGATTTTAAAACAATTGAGATGGTTGCTCTTTGATCATGGAAAAAACTATTTTTGTGTCTGTATACCTTTCTTATTTCTACAAAAGATTGGTGTTGGGAAAGGGATTTGTGCAAGTCGTAATAGAATGATGACATCACAAAGGATACTCGCTAGTAATGAAGCTGATAAATTCAGATACACATTCCTGTACGCATTCCTTGGCATCTTTAGCAATCTATAAGCAAAACGGAGACATTGAAAATAAACAGAATTATATATGAGAAAATACAAAAAGAATATTAAAACTCTTTATTCACTCAATAATTGAGGTGAGTGGCAAATGATCAAAAGAAAAAGGAACCTGTAAATATTATGATGGTAGATTACAGTAATTTTTGCATTAGAAATTTTAAAATGATATGCCAGTATAGGAAAATGATTATACAAGACAACATTAGCTGTAAAACTGTTTTTGGTAATTATATAAAACTTCTAATGTAAAAAATGTAATGATGTATCACAAAGTGTGTGAGGGGGGAGGCAGAAAAATTATCAAGATTTTACAAAAGGTTTTTTTTACAGGTATTCACAATCTTAAAATAGTTTAGAAACATCTACCACAAATCTTTTTTAAAAAATGTATAATAAAGTGAAAGTAGTATGGTGCAGTCCTACTAACAAGACAATATGTAACATTATTTGAAAGGTCTGCCAGTGTTAGACTATATTATTTTATTTAACCAAAGTTAAATGAAGAAATCAGTTTTTACCGACATGCTTAACCAAATAAACTTCATTTTTCATTTCTTTTTTAAATAATGAATCACAATATTTAATAATACTCAGAGCCACTTAAGTTTTCATTTTAATACAAAAAATTATGGTAAACACAAACAAAAGTTTCTATACTCACTTTACCAGTCTTGGGTATAGATTTCTTCATTATTCTGGCTACATTAGCAATAGGTAAGAAACGGTCCTATAAGATATGAAGCAAACATTTCATGGTAAGAAATAATGTTAAATTACAATTAAAAAAAAGTTAAAAAATGATAATAATTAAAAGAAAAAAAAAAGAAAAAAAGAAGTTGTTTATAAAAGCATGCAGAAGTTAGTAATGTTTGTTTTCCTCTTTTAGGCTATCAAAATAAAGTTAAAGTAAATAATGATTAATATAGAGTGGCAAGTTCTCAGTGTTATAAAACGTCAAATTCTGTGTTTTTCCATGTTTATGTTTCAAAATCATAAAGATATGTGAAAAACAGACTTGTGTGTAAACAGTAAAATATACAAATATATAGCCTACTTATATAAGGCATCTTTATTTTTTTGTGCTTAAGCAATTTATGATGATCCACAAGCATGTCTCTCTCAGTCCAATCTATGGAGTGTTGACAAAAACTGCAAAATAATTTATTGCCATCATGATAAAAATCATCATGGAAAGCTGGATCTTCAGCTTTGTATTTTGCCAAAAGTGTGCAACCACCAGGTTTGCTAGCTTTTCATTAACTCATGAAAGATAATCAAGCCAGCATTTAAAAATCTAATTTAATTACTAAACAAATAACTTTTATTTTTACTACCCTTGACAATGTGTGCCACACTATTCATATGCTAATATCACATATAAATATTTGCCCTGCAGCAATCAGTGGTGACTGGTTTGGCCAAGTTAATATTATGAATTAGATTATGGCACTTGCACAGTACCAGGATCAGTAATGGAAAAATACATCATGTTATTTATAGAATGACATATTGCAGCAATATAGGTTGTAGTGCTTGCACATAAGTGACTGACTTCACTGCACATTGCAAATTTATGCAAAATAATGATTCTAGCTCAGGAATTTTATGTTTTACCATTGGAATATACAAAGTTTTGAAGTGATGACAATGGATATGGCAGGGCCTACTACAAAGTACAAACTACATTTATGTTGATAATATGGTAAATTTAGAAATAAAAGAGGCTCTGATTTTTGCAATAACTTTTTTCTTTCTCTTGCTCTATTTTTTTATTTGGATTTTATTTTTTAATAGCAAAAATCTAGTTTTCTGTGATTTTCTGTTTCCTACTTCATTTCAGTGTTTTTTCCCCATATCAGGGAGAACTTGCCACTTTAGATTAATAGCATATATTTTTATTAATCCAGAAACACATTTACTTAAATAAAATTATTTACCTGTTCCCTAAGAGGTTCATCACTTCGGCCATCTCCTTCTCCTTCACCAGATGATGCCATGCCATCATCATCTTGTGCTGTGAAAGATGTAAATAAATAAAATGTGGTGCAACCTTCATCATATATACTTTTGAAATTTAATAGGAAACAATAAATAATTTTATTGTCTCATATCTATAAAAATTTAAAATGCTAATTTAAAAAAAAAAAAAGAAAAAAAAAAGAAAAAAAGTTTCAGGTGATTAAACTAACATTTAGCAAGCTGAAACTGGTTTAAACATTTAAATGAAAGTAAAAATTTGTTTAGAGTATTGATCAAAGAAAACTCTAACAGTTTACAAATAAATGTCTTTTTATGGGTATTTACCTTGTCTCCCCACAGAGACGTGATGCGACAAAGTTGGGTTTATTATGGGGTGAGAGTGACATTTCTTGGTTAAATAAACCAACAATAAAAAATATATATTTAAATAAATAAAAGTTATCTAATGACATTTGTGATCTCAATTAGATAAACCAACAGTAAAAATAAGATTTTTAAAATAGCTAAAATGTTATACCCAATTTTTTTTAAATCAATGAGATGAAAATCATCAGAAATAAGGAAGGCAGACATTAACCAATATATCAAACATAGATTACCTGCCCTTCAATGAGGACTACTAGCACTGCCATTTGAGCAGCTAAAGTGGAGAAATACATTTCTTTTTTATCTGTTTTATTTTTTTTTTAATTTATTCTCTGCAAACTATTCTTTAAATTGTGTTTTAGAAGATCATTGTTCTGATGTGAGATTTATATCCATTTCAGTTGACAATACACTCTGTTAAAAGCATATTTTAATCGTTTTTTTCTTCATTTTTTAAAATCATCAATGCGAATAGCAAAAATCTCAATGTAAAAAAAAACAAACCCAAAAAACTAATAATTTTCAAAGAAAATAATGAAAAACAAAAAATCTCAAAGTTCTTAAGGACCAAAAAATTTTGAATAAGGAAAAAAAGTAAAAATTCTTAAAAAATCCAAAAGATTTAAGATAAAAAAAAAAAAAAATTTAATAAAATAATTCAATTTTGTTTTTAAGAAAACTTTAAATGAAAAATACATAAAAAAGTAGCCTCTAATAAAAAAAGTAATTCTGATAGGGAATCATCAATTCTGTAAATAATCAGAATCAAAACATGCTAAATTCTGATTGATTAAGAAGAACTGCTCTCACACCTGCTGAAAAACAACGAAGAAGACAAAAATGTAGGGCCCCTGATTTTCTGTTTCAAATTTTCCTTATTTTCATTTCCGTTTTTGGTAAATTCCGTAAATTTACTTTTGGGAAATTTAATTTTTTCCATTTTTATAGTATTTTATGAGAAAATTGTAATACAATATGCTATAATTATTAACACTGAAAACAAAAATATAATTCAATGTTTCATTGCATATAAAGAAATAGCGAACATTAGATATAAAAGGTTGTTACCCTTTTTTATCAGTAATTTTTGGTCTCGTGAGTTTTTTTTCTTCTTTTACTTGTGTTTTGCCACCCCCGTCGAACTCAGCTTGCATACGGCCCCAATCCCTGTTTGATCCCATCTGTCTAAGATCTAATCACAACGTGGGTAGGCAGACCGGAGATCAGTACAGTTACCCTGGTAACCAGGTGTTGGAAGCGAGTTGGGAAAGGCGAGGCTGGTAATCATCTAACCAAGGGGTTGGAACGTCACACTTGGAGCAGCAAGGAGCGACCCGGAGGAGCGACGTCACCGTTGGCGCCGTGACCAAAGGATTCGACCCTGGACCAAGTGCCGTCACACTATTACAGCTGTGCTTTTTGTATAAGGCAAGGTATATCCTCAAGAATGATGTACAAATACATCTAAGAAAGCAGACAATCAACTCCTCTCAAAATATATTCCTGATTTAAAAACATTATTAATTAAATGAATGGAGACAAGATAATTTCTGAATAAATCTATTTCAAAGAGATCTTGTTTTAAAATTAATAATTATTTTTTCAAGTTAAATTAATTAGTGACAGCACTTAACATCTTCACTATCCATTTTTTCTGACATGTGTAAACCAAGAATAGAGCAATAAAGATTTGCCAAAGGAAAAATAGCATTGATAGAAAGCAAAGGAGAAAATGAAAACAAAGCATTATTTTTCAAAAAGGATGTTATAAAAACATCAATTAACGTCCTTTCACAATGAATATGCTAAAAAAACAAAACACCAAAAACAAAACACCAAAAAGTAAAGTGTGATGCTCATTACTGATTAAATTCATACATTATGATTATTCCTGCTGCCTCCCTCTCTTACACACACGCACACACATACAATATAATTTAATCATATAATTTTATAATAAATATTTTTGCTATTCTTGGTTTCAAAAATGCATTTAGAAATTGGAGTTTGTTTCACCAAAATGAAATTTAAGCCATAATAATAATTTCATTCTATATTTCAAATTTATATTAAAATTTGATAAATATCTAAGCAAAAGATGTGAAAAAGATGCAAACTCGAATTGAATGTACAGAAGATGCAAACGGTATTAAATAACTTTTACAATTTACAGATGAAGCATATTCATGTATTTTTGAAGAGATCTTTTTCATAACGTGTGTATGTGCGTTAGGGTAGGTCGATTTTTGTCTTTTTTTAAAATATCAAAAAGAATAATGTACAGAAAGTTGTGTATAGACCAGTTAAGTACTGATACAAAAAATTAGATTTGTCACTTCAATGGTTTTTTGAGCATTTGGCATCAAAGATCGTAGACAAAAAAGCACTGAAAAATCCACGATTTTGCAAGATTTAGACTAAATATTGATAAAAAAAACAAACAATTTCACTATTTAAATCAGGGAATGTTGTTATTTTGTTTTAGCAAAATGAAATAAAATGTAGAAATTATGAATAAACTTCAAATTGAAAATTTGCCCTCCCTATCACTGATGATTTTGAAATGCTGTTTTTACCTCATGAATTAAGCAGTATTAGTTGAATACATTAAAAAATTGATTTTTTCTAGTTTGAATGAAAATACAACAAACAAACAAATATGAAAAAATAAAGAATAGTTTAATAGGGCTTAATATATAGAGTCAAATAGCTCCATATAAGAACCCTCAGATGAAATTGATGGTCACAATTTCTGACACAAAACTTTTGATATTATGTGCTGTTGCCTTGCTTCAAAGCCATACACAGATTGGGAAGCTTCTGTTGTTAACTTGACTGCCCGTTCCACACCTTGAGAATGTGAGCGCAAATCTGGCAAGTCAAGTTTCGTACCATTTAATAATTATTCCCGTAGTTCATTTTCAGAAAATTCTTCTGTGAGTGGTGGTTCACAAATTCTACTTAATGACAGATCTTTTAACTGTCTCCAGTGCATAGCTTTAAAATTGATAGTTGTGATTCTTTTTAATTTTTTCTTGGTTTGTTCCACTCTTGAAAAATATAAAATTAATTTGATTTATGTTTTTAAAAAAAAACACTACTGCTTTAAAAATATTTATGTTGAAATAATAAACTGACCGTGAAAAATACAATTATGCGCAACAGGTTTTCGATCAATTAGTAAACTTCTGACCTTTTAACCTTAAATCCAGACGGCTATTTTTGCACATGGAATTATTCAAATTTGGCTCATAAATGCACAATTTTCTGAGTGAAAAAATATCATTTTCGCTTCAAAATAACATAAAAATTTTAAAAGAAAGGCTCAATTTTATATGAATCAAATCATCATTTAAAACAAACCTTATCAAGCCATTGTTCTTTTATATGAAGCCCTAGTAATTCCCTTTTTATTCACTTTGCTTTTATCTGGGAGTGGTGGGTTTTATTACAACTTGTTCTCAGGTTTGCCATTGTTTATTGCTGGCTGGTTGGTTGGCTGGCCTTTGACCTAGACGTCAAAAGTCAATTAGGTTTATTTTCCATTATCACTATTTTTTTGAAAAAAAAAAAACACTTTTGGTTTCTGGTGGTTAGGAATTGCAGATAAATCTTTTGCCTTTTACTTTTCCGTGGCCATGTCAATTTTTTAACCCTTGGCAGTCATAATTGAAAATTAACAATGGATTTTGTCATTTTTGAACCCCAGGAATGTTGATTTCTTCAAAACTCTCAATTTTATGCCTGAAATCTAGGCTTTCTTATTTTCAAAAAAAAAAAAAATGAATTTCCCCATTAATGGGGGAAATATTTGTTTAGAACAAGAAAAAAATGCAAAATTTTCACTATTTTTTCACATTTTTACCCACTGAAAAAAATTTTTGTCATTTACACCAGCTAATTTTACTTTTAAATGAAAGAATATATCTTTTGCTTTCAGAAAATTATTTCATTTCAGATCAAACTTTCCTTTGATTCGTTTAGGTGATGATAAAACAGTCATTTTCAATATTTTACCCCTAAAAAGTATGAAAACCCATTACAAAATGACTTTCTTTTTTCACTTGGGATTTTGGAAACCTGAATTGACTTTATTTAAGTTCAGTGGGTCTGTATAAACAGCTGTGATGTACTGCTTAATATTTATGTTGAAATTAGATAAATATTATTCCACAATAAAATTTATTAAACTGTGGAGTTTTTGGTTGAATAAATATTTCGTGGGTCTGTTGATGAACCATGATTGTCCATAACTGGCAAATCAAACTGATGCCTATTTTGGGTAAAAATATGTTAACCCTTTTAATCTTGACTGGTTTAATGGACCAATTTTCCATGATGCAAATCTAAAGTCCACCTTCTTACCACTACAAATACCCACTGTATATTCATAAAGGAGCCTTTGGTCACAACTAAGGGTATCTGCATTTTCAATTTTAAAAATAGAATCCAGAGGACTGCCAACAGCTGAAAATGATATTTGGGGTAAATTATGGTAATCATTTGCACGTAATCTTCCAAGTGGACCATTGAATGTGGCAGGGCTATTTTGTGGTACCATCTACATGTTTAAAGAGAGCTCTAAATGGAAGTTTATTTTGGTGCAAGGAGCAACCAATAGTATGAAGATTTCTGTTAAGTTTTCTTTCTAGAGGTGCAGCAAATCCACCTTCATAGGCTGAATTGGCATTAGTGTTTGTCAACAAGGATAGCCTTGATAGTGCTTCTTAAATTTGCACTGTTGAATTCATGCAAAACATCACTTTTTTTTTGCTGAATTTAACCTTTGCTCTATCAATTTTACATTTATCTATATAAATATCTTTTATATTAATATTGGGGATGAGAAAGCCCATAGCCCTCAAATCCAAGAGCAATGCCTTGGCAAGGCTGGCTCCAAGATTGTAAGATACATCACCCCTGATTAACTCAACAGCATACCATGGAATTTTGATAAGGCTAGCCGCTATAGCCTTATCAAAATTTCACGGTATGCTCGGCCCTTTGGGATGTTTTTCCTGACATTTTTATTAAAATATCTGACAAAGAAAATATATGTATTATCAGAAATTATACAAAAATATTTTTCAAAATAAATTGGAAAATAAAGCTTGAAATGAATTATTAAATTAAAAAAGTAATGTTTATATAAAAGTAGAGTTAGTTCCGGGATTAGCTTGTAAACAGGATTTTTAATAAAACATTAATTTTCAAAATATAAACAAATTGCAATAATTATAAAAGTTGTATTTTTTTAAATAGTTAAGTATATTTTGATGAAAAATAAAATAGATATTTGCGCTAGTTAAAAGCGTAAACAAAAATAAAACGAACATACAAGAGGAGGTAATTACTACCGGTAAATACCGAAAAAAACAAATCCAGTAAAAACGACGCCGTTCATGAGTAGTTATTTGTATTTTTTAAACTAAATATTTTAGTGTGTTTTATTTTTATTTGTAGTAACTTCATTTAATTTAATAAGAGAATAGATAATAAACTCAAAATATTCATTATTAAGCGTTATTTTTTTTTTTTTTTCGTTAAGACTCGGTTTTAATTTAACATACACATGTTTCCGGTGACACCGTTATGATGAAAAAAAAATTTATTTTGTCTTAAAGTTCGATTGCTCAAATAAATACGAAGTTTTGAAGAAAAATATTTTTTGTGGTAATTTTTGACGTTATTTTGCAACTTTCCCCAGTTATTCTTTTTATAGTTCCAAAATCGACCTACCCTAATGTGCGTGTGTGTGTACGTATGTGAACTAATATAATTAAATCATTTAACAGATATTTCAATTTATTCTTGCAATGATTGACACTGAAAAAAGTAGATAAGGTAGAATGGTATGTCCATATGCAAAACTGTACATGTTGACAATGATAAATAGTTGCCAAACTTGATTTAGAACAATGATCGTGAAATCAATTCCTTTTAATAAAAATAATTACCATCGACTGCATATTGATTTGCAGTCATAAAAGATTCTGACAAAGATGCTGCATCCCCAGCACCATCACTTGAACTTGCATCCAT